CCCCCCCCCCCCCCCCCCCCCCCCCCCGGTGTTGCATGTGTGTGTTCGTCTACTCACGTCTGGGCGTTATCGTCTGCCTTCGCCTCTGCATGTGTGCGACCCAACTAGATCTTCAGAGGCAACAGGCGTTCGCCCTCTCCCTCTCTCACTGGGTTTTGCATGAGCTTCCCCTTTCCTCTTGTGATCTCTCGATGCCATTCTCGCCTCTTTCTAGATGCCATTCTTGCATGTGTCTCGATCTTTCGCACAGGTTCCTAGGGAGTAATCATCACAGGTCCTGCCATGTCAACGCAGTCAAACCGTCAGATGCGAACGATGGGAGCTGAAAATGAGACAGGGTGATGGATGGATACGGGGCGTTGGTACCGCAGTTTGGGACTAGTGGTGGTGTGCCCAACATCCTCTGAGCTACGGTAGCATGGCTAGACACGAAATTACTGGTGGGAAAAAAAAAAAAAAAAAAAAAAAAAAGAGTGGCTAGACATACAAATTACAAGGGGCAAGGCCCCACTTTTGCACGGATTAAACCACCAGTACCCCAGGGGGTCATAGGCACCCTCTGGGGAGGCTCTGTGGGAAATGCATATGGACCTGCGCTGTGCACCGATTTGGGCACCGCGTTAACGGGCCTAAAAAAGCGGAGGTACTGGTGGATTATGAGCTACCGGCCATCATAGTAGATCATCCACAAACACAACTTCTTCTTCTTCTTTTTTTTTTTTTTTTTTTTTTTAATCCACATCAACCTCATCGCAAGAGTCTGCAGCTGACCCGTGCACACATAAAAGGTAACTTCAATTGCGCTGCGAAAATTGCAAATCAATCGAGCGACCATGGTTTGAATCCGTCCTTAGCCTTCTTACGCGGCAAGTTGGCCAAGTTGTTGAAGTGGGTGGATTAAAAAAAAAAAAAAAAAAAAAAAAAACTTCAGGTAAGTTGACCAAGTTGACCCAGGGTGATGCAATTTGTAGATGGACTGTACTTTTTCTATTTTCCACATAGATTGGGGGTGGGGGTGGGGGGGGATTTTTTTTGTCTTTTTTTCTAGGCTACCAGAGTGGCCCGGGTCCACTTGCTCGGCCGGGCTAAAAAGATATTAAAAAATAATAATAATATAATTTTTGAATTATTTTTCAATATAATTTTTTATTTTAAATTTGGTAAAGAAAGTTTTTTTTTTTTTTTTTTAAAAGACCACTCTTGTGTTTTTTTTTTTTTTTTAAGCTGGGAACCGGGCCCAGCGTCCCTCACAAAATTAGGTGGGGCCCTCGGCAGGCAAAGCATCACTGGCCAAGCACATCGAGGGTACCACTAGATTTTACCCTGCAGCCAACTCCACAGCCAAATCCACAGCCCCTACCACTGAAAAATCAACGAAATTTATCATCAAAGTCTGAAGTTCATCACTAAAAATTCTAATCACAATAGTCATGTGAACCCTAATTTAGTGACCCAAATTCCACCGACCATTAAGAAATCATGTGCAATCGGAACTACCGAAGAAAAACGAATCAAAACCACAAAAAAGAAACGAGCGGCCAGCGCTGCGTGATCATGTCCACCATTCATCCGGAGTTATTACCAACCCCTGCCAATCCGCCCTACCACCCGCGCGGCAGGGGTCTGTGCCCACAGGCCCCAAACTGCTGACAGAGACCCCCCAAACCCACCCACCTCCTCGCGATTTAAAGCAGATAGCACCTCCCCACACTCCTTTTTACAAAAACACCAACTCCCACCACGATGCTGTTTTCACTAACCAGGGGATTACGCTACCTCCCGCACGGCAGGGGCTAAAAAGCCCCGCAAAACCCACCCACCTCCTCGCGATTTAGGGTAAACCTCTCCCTCAGTCTGCATACACCCCCTATGGATGCTTCGCCTCCCTCCATGACGAAGCCCCTGTGGAGCAATGCTCACCACTTCTCTTTAAGAATTCAGATGACAGCAAACAGCAGCCTATTAAACCACCAGTACTTCCTAAAGTCCTGCCCGTAACACTACGCGATTTAAGGAAACGTACGAGCCACTACAGGAGCGCCCAAATTCATCCAACTAGAAACGTTTCTACTCTATTTTTTTCCGCGGCCGAAAGCTGGGCCAAGTACTGGTGGTTTAAGATGAAATGAATATCTGACCCAAATTCAAAGAATTTTGATGTGACCCGCCGGAGGCAAAAGTTGTTCAGTTTATTTTTCTGCATAACACAGGTTTTCTTCGGATTTTTTTGTTTTTTGTTTTTTTGGCTGGGACCTTCCCTGGTCCTTGCACGGCCGGGCCGCCCGGGAACCCCCCCAACCCCCCAACCCCCCCCCCGAGGGTGTTTATGTTTTTGTTTTCTTTTTTCATAGCTGGAGTTTCTTCTTGGTAGATGTTCCGTTTCCAAGCCGGGAGCTCGGTTGGTCAAGCACAAGCGGCTTATGCGTGCCCTTGTGGATTAGGTTGCAGGTTCGAAGAGTCTGATCTGCAATCGGGCGGTGCACATGTATTGGCACACGCTGCAGGGTGTGACTTGGGCCCACTCGCACACAACCCTTGGTTGAAGCATGGTAAGAACTACAGAGACTGGCTGTTCCAGGCAAGGAATCGAGGTTACTACGGGGTGGGGGTCGGCAGTAGGGCGCCACGACGACGCACTGCCACTGGGTTGTCTCTCAGGGGGGTTCCATGGGACCCTACAAGGGGGGGATTTGACACTCGGGGGTGGATGCGGTTGGGGAAAGGAGGTGTGAACTTATCGGTGGCTAGCATCGGTCTTGGCGGCACTTCTAGGGAGTCAGGTGATAGCACTGCCTAGTCAGGACCGTCGTAGTCCCTGTGCTGCTGGCAACACCAAGGGAGAGTTGTGCCCGCACCGTTAGGGGGCAGCTATATGGGGCTGCACTGGGGTAGGGGTAGGGACAGCTGCCTACATAAAGGAGGCCAGTTGGGTATAGGTGTCCTCCATGGGCGCGAAGAAACCTTGGCGAATGATAGGATGCGGGTAGAGGGACTGTGGTAGGGAGCATGAATGGACAGAAGCATCGGTCGGGTACAGGGAATGTCGTAGGGGGCAAGAATGGACAGAATCATCGGTAGGGACCATGGGAAGGACCTAGGTCTATCTAGCAGTTCCATCCATACGTAGAGCGAGAGAGCGAGAGTGAGCGAGCGAGCGAATGAGCGAGCAAGAGAGAGAGAGAGAGAGAGAGAGAGAGAGAGAGAGAGAGAGAGAG